AATGGAACAGAGTAAGAGCATTATGTGATCAACTGGAATAATTTGGTTTTCCATACCCATTTCACTTCTAATAAAACGACATTTGGTGTACCTCTCTCTGAGTGTGAGAAGTTAAGAGTGCATGATAGAAATTGACTCTCTTTTGATTTTAAATCTCAGGACCTCTGAAGCCCGAATCATAATACTTAAGTGCAAATAAATGGCAGGTCTCCATTTATGTCTTTGAAAACATCTTCCATAGGTCATTTAGTGACACAATTTATATTAGCTCAAATGAATCAAATAGTTTGTAAGTTCTGAAAACATCAAAAAGACACTCTTGGCTCTTGGGTTGCTGAAGAGCCATCCATTTCCAGGTTGAGCAGATGCTGATACTGCAACATCTCAGATGAGGAAGCCAGGCTGGGCTAACAACTGACCTGTAATTTTAGGGCTGTCTTTAACACTTCCTGGGGGTGGAGCAGTACAGTCTGATAAGCTTAGTCGCCTTGTAACCGTTCTCTCAGGACAAGGCAAAAGGGCTGTTAGCTCACCCTACCTAAAAAGGATCAATCATCTGGAGAGGCCCTACTGTGACTATAAAAAACAAGATAAGTGAAACTCCCCCCCTGCAAAAGACAGCCAGGGTAGGATTATCACACTTTTTCTTTTCCCAGGCAAGTCTTTTTGGTGCCATCCCACCAAGCTGATAAGTACAGACTACATTTAGATTTCTTGAAATCCTTGCCTGAATGAGTGCAGAGTTTTGTTTTTCAGCAGCAAGAATGAGACAAAGGAACAGTCTCAGCTTGCCAGGGTGGCCTCCATGACCACAGACAGTCTGCAGCATGTGCTTACATGAAGAAGAGAGTCTGGCACCAAAGGAAGAAGGGCTAAGTAAGAAAAGGAACAGCTTATGGTGGGAGCAATGGGTTCGGCCACCCTAGACAGGGATGAAACTGGAGGCTGAGGGGACAAGGTAAAGTAGGTTATAATTACCATGGAATTTATTCCCAGCTCAAGCTCCCTGCAAAGACTCACAGCATTACTTTCATCTTTCCTCTCCTTCATAGGACCCACCAGGCACACCCCTCACTTTGTTCTCTTATTTGTTATCAAAACATAAAAGTCCTAACAAAGGTTCAAAGGAAAAAATCAGAGCTGTAAGGCTATTTAGGACCATAAAAATGCAGATGAGCACCTGTATGACTAGGTCCGACCTCTTCAGATTTGGTGCACAGCTGCTTTCTAGCTTATACAAGCTGGCAATAGAAAATCTGTTACAAAAAATCTTTTCAGCTTAGTATTTCTCTGTAGTGTCTTACTGTAAATATCAAATGGTAGGTTTGCAACAAAATAGTCACTGCTGTTTTATTTCATTTTTTATCATTATGCATTCTACTGTATATACCAAATCCAAAAATCTTTAAGGTCCTTATGCCTGTTTGTTCAGGTTGTAAGATTGAGAGCGTGCAGCTGAAGTGTTTCAAGAGGGCATTATTATTTCTTTATTGTGTAGTTCCTGTTGATTTAGATCCTCTAGATAGTGTCCTTGGAGAATGCAGTATTGAAATGAAAATAGATCCATCTCATGAAGTTGTACTTACAACAATTTCAATTAACTTAGCATGTGGGTAATGGAAAAGGGAGTTAGATTGTAATTACCTTCTTCAACTCTGCCTTGGAAGTAGAGGTTCAAATCACCAAACTGTCAATATCTATACACATGCAGAGTAATATGAAAGGTTAAATCTGATACCAAACTATTCTGCTTCCTTTATCCTAGATTTAATGAGAAAATATTGAATGAGTTCTGCCAAGATGTGTCATTTCTTCATTTTGACTGCAGAGTACAGGTCCATTTGGTCCAAGTATTACCCACTACTCATGTAATTGTATACACTTCTTTAACTTAATAGAGAAGACCCCCAAATCAATCTTTCATCTATGAGTCAATAAGGCCAAGTTCAGGAAAGAGCATCTTACATTGTGAAAGAAAACACAAAAAGGGCTGAGGAACATTTAGCATGAGATCCATCACAGGAAAAACTACCAGAAAACTTTTAAAGCTCTTTACTAAAAGAAAGGTGTAGACTACAAGCTGATTTTGACATGCTGGGGTTTTTGCCAAATAACTGGAGACTATCAAGATGTTATAACTGACTTTAAATGCTTTTCTTGTTTGTTGCTTATTCTCCAACAAAATGATAGGCAAGAAAATTCAAGTGCATCATGTACTCTATTATGTGTGACAAATAGCAAGATAGAATCTTTGCAGGTGTTTAACATCTTTCACTCAGATTCAGTCACAAACAATGTATATGAACTGATCTTTGCCATAATTGTATGCTAAAGTTTAGAGAAGCCCTAATTGCTAGTAGGATTGACATTCATTTTCCAGACTCTTATTCACAAAGAACTTTTAATTATAAAGCTATGATTTGAAAGTGCAAGACAAATGTGCCTACAAATTTTGCTGGTGGTGTTAATTTGTTTTCAGAAATCAAAGTTTTCCTGCAAAATTAGCTGATCTGAACATAGCCTAGAGCCCTCTAGCCCTCAAGCAGACTGACTCCATGGATTAGAAAGTAAGTACTTAGAGCCCCACCACAGCAACTGCAATTTGATTTAGTCAACCTGAGGAAAAGGAAAGAGGGACTCCTTCCAGAGCCACCCCATTCTCATAGTCTGAATACCTTCAAATCAGACAGAAAATGATTGTGCTCAAACTCCACAAAGTAATCGTGTCTCAAGGCAAACATTGCCCACCTCTCAATACAACAGCAAGCTACTTAAGTTAGCCTTGGCTTTACATACCAAGACAGTCGTCGATCAACTAAATTTACCTCCATATGCATTTAACTTCAAGGAGCTCTACAGGAAACAGCCAAATCATAAACTGCTCAGCCAAACTGAAATTGCGCATGACCTAACTCAGCTTGCTTCTTCCTGGTTATTCCTACAAACTAATGTGTATATCTCACTGACAAAGATGAAAGCAGTTGTTATGGGAATTGTTATTCTGGACTGATTTTTCTATTAGTGTAACTTTAGAATTCCAAAAATTATGCTCCACTTACAAGGTTGACAGCATGCTTTTCAAACTAAGGGTATCATACAAAGTGCCACAGAGCTTGTTTTGGCTAAACTGAGCAAGGTAACACAAGTCTAGGTGGATGATACTTCTTCCCTATAAAAAAAAGAAGAGCTCAAAAATATTGTGCAGTCTTCAATTCTGGTGATTATACTTCTTTACATGCTGAAAAAAAAGCCAGAGAAAAACAATCCTGAGCACAAGAGTCCCCATATCTCTGTAGGTCAGTAGGTTAAGGGTTAAGGGATGTGATCTGCACGTATTAGTATAAATGATTTATATCCGTGCACGTAGAAGAGGAAAAGGGGGAGAACTGTCTTTGCACAGATGTAACACAAAGCTCATAACTAGAGAAAAAAGTTTCCTAAAAGTAATTAATCTCTGAAAAAGCTTGTCAAAGAATATGGCAAATTCATCACTAGTTGATGGCTTTAAATAGAGCATATTTTCAGAAGATGTGCTCCATTTCAGCTGCAAAATATTAAACTCTATGGGATTCACTTACATAATGTGGAAACTAATTCCCTCCTCAATGGAAATTCCCAAATAAAGTTTTGTGGTCTCCTGTCAGGCAAACAGCCAGATCAGGCCACTGTAATGCTATCTCCCTCCTCCACCTCCTCAAAATTTAAGCAGTTTGTGTTTTATAAGCAATAAAGGAAGGTGGGGGGAAATTACTAGTTTTTATCTTCAAGGGAAACTTAAAGCTCCTCTCAAACAACAGATGGCTCCAAAATCCCAAATTATTTTATTCTTAAAAGTGCAAGCACTTAATTTCCTTTTGGTTTTAAGCAAAGTATCATTCTTACCTGTTTCAGAAAAGAATGTTGAAAACTCCATCTTAGTAACAATTAATTGAACAAAACTCACTGTTATTGAAGCAAATGCACACAGGTAGATTTTTCACGAGGATAGATACAACTTGTTACTGTAGCCAGCCAAATTTCTTTTCCTGGGGGACCAGACCTGGACAGTGAAGGTTATTCCTCAAAACTTCTTGAGACTTTAAAGCAAGTTAATACACTGAATTTGGCTGAATCTTCTCAAATTTAGCTAGTAGAGTGGCAGGCAAGAAAATGAGCTCAAACATGGGTCATTCTGGCCTAAATCTCTAAATATCTTCCCTAGCTCAGGTGAGTGCCCTGCCCAAACAAGCTGTGCTCTAGTAAGTAGATTGCACTAGAAGGTAGTTTTGACAAGACATCTGGCAGATGAATTCCCACCTTTGAAACCACCTCAATTGACTAACATAAAATAATCTCGGTAATGAAAAGTATATAGTGCTATAGCAGCACAGGACTTCACAGAGCAGCAAGTAAGGAATTCTATATGCAACGAAGAAAACATTAAGTATAAAAAACACCTACGCTGCTCTTTGCTAGCACTATAGTTATGATATGCTTACTCCCACCCACTAACAACGTTATGGCATTTGCTCAGCACTGACACAGAAGGTAAAGCACCATCTCTGAAATCAGTGATATTCCTGACTGCGTCTCCTTTGTTGTTTTGAAGCTTGTCATTTAAATTTGAATTCAGCGAGGCAATGCTTTGTTTGAGATTTGATGGGAATGCAGGAAAATGCAGCATGATTTACGTGTATTAAATTTGCAGGTCTGAAGCAGTGCCCTAAAATTAGAGACTCTTGTCAGCAATAATCACCATAACTATTCCTTTTACATTGTATATTCACAAGATTGTTTCTATGACAATACCTTTAGGAGGGTGATATGAAAACATGGAAATCTAATCCCATTAGAGAAGATCTGAAGGTAGTTAAGGACACAAACTTTGCAATTACCTCTTTGAAAAGGCATACAGCATACACTCCTACTATTAATACAATTTCATACTAATTTGAATCAAATGCATGGGCTATTAATTTACATCTACTTAAAACCAGGATATAAAGCACATAAGAAGATAGTGGTTTAAAAGTGTTTATTTTTTAAGATACAACAATTTTTGTCGTATAAAAACACTAGAGTATCTGGGCAACTTACAATCCAAAAATGAAAACAACCCCTTCCCTATTACTAACAGAGAGTTGCGATTCAAGTAAGCTCACAACATTTCTTGAACACAGAACAGTTTTTATTTACAGATCCACAGCTAAGTACCAAAACATCTTTAAATAAACCAATTAGCTCCCAAGTTTCAGCAAGATCATTCCTATAGTGATCAGGCCAGCTGTAGCAACAAGCTCCTTCCAGCTGGAGAAGACATTTCCACTCAAGCATGGCAAACAACTCTCCTGTATCACCACATACTGCAGTGCACTGCCAAATACAGCAGTGCCCCAGAACCCCCAAAAGCACCCCGCTCACTTCTGCTCCTGGTGGTGTTGCACACTCCTAGCTATGGTAGCACTGCAATGGCAATTATCTCTCCAAATTTTTTTCCTCTTGCTTCCTCCTCCTCATATCCCAGCTATCCCTGAAGCAGAAGGAGCAGCATGAGGCCCTGAGCATATTCCAAGATTAAGCACAAAACCTCACAAATTAAGGGCATTGTAGCTACACGTTGCTAGCTAGGTTAGCAGTTCTGCCTCATGTAGAGATTATTTTTGTTTGCAAAATGATTGTTTGTTAGTAAAATCAATTATCTGCATTCATTTAAAGCATACTTTTAAGAAGGATGTTTTTCTATAAAAGATGCCTCTGCTAACATACAAATGTCACTGAATCGAAAATAAAAAGCATATCCTATTTAACAAGAGATAAGCAAGGGAAGCAAAGCTTTTCAGGGAAAAAAAATTAGGACAGTGAATATAGACAGAGAATTTGAGATAACTACAAGAAGTCATTTTCACAGACTCTGGCTTTACACTTTTTCATTACACAAAAATGAGATGATGCATTTAAAATGCAGTATGTCAACTACTATAGGGCTAACAGGCATTTGAGCTATTTCATATGTGCATCATTCAATTAAAGAGTAAATATTTTAGAAAATCACCATGTGTCAATCTCAAAAGTATAATTACTTTGCTTTCCTCATTTTTTCCTCCATTTTTTTTTCTTTTTAGACAGCAATGAATACAATGAATATGTGAAAACAAGAATGCTGCGAAATTTAGTAACAGCAGGAAATTTGCTTTCTAAGCAACTACACTGCTTAAAACAATGACATCATTTCAACAGTAAGCTTTCAAGTTTAATTTTGTTCTCTCAGAAAAGTTGTGAAAACCCCACAAATACCAAAAAAAAGCAAAAGAAGGCAGTTTAAAGATGAGCAAAACTTGCTCTTCTTCTAAAACTTCACAACCAATATATATTTAAAATTACATATAAGGACATTCTAGCTAAACCAGCTACTAAAACAAGCAATCAGTCATGACCGAACTTGAAGTTTTCTAATTCTCAGAAATAGCCTTGCTAAAATCCCTGATGTTATGACTTCAAGAAGCATTGTATTACGCAGCTGGTCATCTTAACAAGATGGCACAAGACTGACACCTTGTGAAAAAGAATAAATCAGACCTGTGTTAACAGGAAAAAGAAATCAACTGTTTGACCCCAGAGACTATAGAATACTTTTTCTTACAATATTTTTAACAGAAGAAATCCCTCTGATTTATCTACTCACAAGAAAAATAATAGATAAATAACCATTTCAGCATGCACATACTGCTTATGGTGTAAAATTCATGCTAATTTTGAATGAACACATGCTGTCGAAGAACTTAAAACAAATGCAATACAGAATGCTCACAACAGAATATAGTTCACAGCATATAGGATTATCAAACAAACTTTCTATCTTTCCAAATAACCACCTATTTTTAACTAAAAGAAAAAAAATGTGTTCAATTATTTGTCTTTTTTTTTCCACTTCAAAACAATTTAGCCATGCTGTGGTTGTTCAGCTCGCTATTTTTATTATTCTGACAGTTATTGAAAAATCATCATCATCTTTTTGTCTGAGAAAAAACACCTGAGATTTTATTTTAAAACAGCCATTATAAAAATGTTAGCTAGCTCTTTTTGGTTTCATCTTGGACATTTCAGCAAATGAGTGTGATTTTTTTTCTAAATGGATAGCTGATTAATAAAATTTACAAAAAATTATAATTTGAATGCTGCTGTAAGTAATTTCATTAACAAATGACACCTGCTAAGGAATTAACCTAAAGTAAGCAATTATGGTTCTACTGAAACTAGAAGACTGTAGCAACATAAACCAGGATAAACATAGTCCTTTCTGCCTGTCTTTAAAATGAATAGCTAATAAATTACAAACAACTACAAAGGAAATATTTCAGGATTATAAAGTATGCATAACTAATTCTTATATCTAAACAGTGCTACTGCTACTGATATTTGTACATTTCTAAGAGATGTTGATGGAATTTGAGACCTTTCTTAATGACTAATTATGATATAACTACAACCATCTTGAATTCTGATACTGAATCCAGCTAATATTGAATATTACCTGCAAACTCCCTGTGGTTCATAGCTTTACTCTAAAATTCTCCTTTCAAGGTTTAGTAATTCAAACACTTCCCTCTTTAATTTAAACATATCAACTCAGCCTGCTTTTAAATTTGCGAAATACATTGAAAATAATGGTACTCAAATTAAAATGTGTTCAGTACACTGATAAATCCTGTGATGAAATATTATGCCATCTTATAATACTGGTTAAAAGAACCTCAACAGTTTCACAAACATCTCTCTTTTTCTAGTGTCTTGTGATGTGGAGCTCATCAGAAGAAATGCATTAAAACGGAATGAATTTAAACTCAGTTCTTTTCACTTGAAAGATGGCTGCTATCTCTATTAAGAATTAGTAGGAAGCGTATTTCCTAACAGGGCTGATAATCAAAGGCATTCAAATAATAAATATGCTGGGCAAAACAAAACACCTGTGGACTATGTAAGCACAGGAATTTTTGCATCTCATCAAGCAAATAAACACCTGCTCCCCTACACAAAGCCAAAAAAACCCCAGATCTAGAAGACAATTCAGAATTCTACCCAGAGCCCCATTCCTTCCCATATTACCATTTTAACCCACTTAGTACAAAAAATTGAGGATACAAATGAAGTTGTACAAAACCATACATATGCTCTTTACCTTGTTTAGGTTTTTACTAGCATGGTATACAAAACCAAAACTGGAAGCAGAAGGCATGAGAGACTTCCCCCCAGATGTGTCATACTAAAATCACAACAGAAAACAACATCCTGGACTCTGCAAGAACTACACCAGATACTTGAAAAGCAACCCATTTTGGGTTTCTCTTGCCACTTCACCTTATATATAAGTAAATAGGGAGTAATCAAATCACAGAATCATCTAGGTTGGAAAGTACCTTGAAGATCATCTAGTCCAACCGTTCACCTAGCACTGACAGTTCCCAAACACAGCATATCCTTAAGCACTAAATCAAAAATGGCTTTCCCTATTGTACACACGTTACCAACAAATTACCATACTGGCAACAGGACAAGAAGCAAACATCTTAAATTCAATACAAATAAACCTACTCATTGAAGATAGCTTTAAAGTTTCCTTAGAAGAAACAGGGTTGCAAAAACATTGAATGGGAGAATCTGAGTTAACCACACTCTTGATAATGTTAGGAGAGGGAAGAGAGCCAGGACATTGATCTGCATATAGTAAAAGAAAAATAACAGTACCAATGTGAGTAATAACTCCACAGTACTGACCTTTTGAGAAACAATTCCATTTCAGAGTAACTGGAGTGGCAATAATATGGTATGTTTGCATAGACTTGGCTGCAGTATTTTCATTACAGAACGAACTTAAAGATGGGACACAGTATGTGAAGTTTTGGATTCTCCCCACCACCACATAATTTACTTATATTTATAAAACTGCTTAATAGTTAACTTCAAGCAATCAAATATTTTTGAGTCTAATTAAAGTAATTTACTGACGAACCATTACAGCCTTCTTTTATTCTGATGATAATGCACTAGATGCTTTTAAAAATATACACACATGGTATTTTACCTTTATAAAACAAAATATATACTCCCTAGTTCCATTAGACGTGTATATATACGAAAAACATTTAAAAGAACAATTCAGTAATGCCATTAGTTTTTCTTTAAGATTACATGTCAAGGATCTTAGAAACACTCAGTTCAACTTGGGAGTGCACTCATACCCTACTTCAGTCAAACCTGTGAACACAGAACCTCAGGACATAAAAGCCTGATTATTTAAAAGGGTATTCATTATACTGCATTCCACTGCGTAAATACACATTTCAGTCTGACATACATAAATTACTCCCCTTCTAATAGGTCACATTATCAACTGCAATTTATCTTTTGTTGTACAGTAACATTCATTCCCCCAAAGAAGGTACATGCACATAGCCTCCACTGTATTTTCTAAATATGAGTTTGAAATAAAATTTTCAAAATGCTCTCATGATTTAAGAGCCTACATTCTGTTTGCAAAACTAATGTAAGCATTTATTGACAAAAAAAGTCATGAAAATTCAGTGGGATGTAGGAAGTTTTGAAAAGATTATACTTCAGTAATAGGTTCATACCTTGACCACTAGCAAACCTACATGGAAGTGGCCAGATCCAAGGAGTAAATATGCACCCAAAGTTAACAAAAAGGTTAAACACTGAAATACTTTGTTAAGTTGCCATACCTTCAAGGGCATGTTATATAATATTTTATTATCATGAAAAATTACTGTAAACATCTGCCTTCACATTAATTACAGAAAGGTGTTCTTAAATTTCCCATGTTGTATTCGTTAATTCCAGGAGCTCATAAATTCAGTATATGGAGTATCTTCACATTACAACATTATCATATCTCACAGTCAGTTGCAACAATATAAGCAGCTTACTTCCTCAATTCCAACTGAGGAAAAAAGTCCTTACATAATGCAAAACATATTGCTTCATTCCAGGGTCCACAGTCCTGAAACAGAACTGGGTTCTCCTAAGGGTATGAAAGTATCAAAAAAAAAGTCACCACATAAACCTCTGGATTTCATCACTATTTGGCCATTGGAATGTTCTGTTTAGAAAAAGATAAAAAGTTACAGCATTCACAGCAATATAAAAAGCCAGCTCCAGAAGTTGTCTATATAGAGATGGAAACGGAATATTGAGCCTATATATTAAGAATGGCAAAATAAAGTAACGAAATTCTAGCAATTTTTGAGGAACCGTGACTGCTAATAAACATACAAAATACATTAAGATCCAGAATATTGATTTTGATTTCAGTGTATCAGTGAAACTCCAGCCAGCAAATATATAGACTGGAACTAATAAATATTTTACAAGCTCGTGTCTTTGGAAGACTTTTCTCCAGACATAGAATGTATAATGTCTGTTATCTGCTAGTAAATACTTATGAACATAAGTAAATTTCCAGATCAGGAATAAAGAGATGACAGCGATTAAGCTGTACTGCATAGGGTGCTTTCGTAATGACAGAAGGAATTTCCTGATTTTAGTAGGGGTCAATAAATGAGGGAATGAAAAAAAAACAGTAAAGGACAAAAAGTAGAACAATTGAGGAAAGTGCAAACAGGCTTCATGGCTACTTCTGTCACCAACAACTATTCCACCGTTGATGAAGACAAAAACAAAGAACACAGTTACTAATACGATGTATGGCCAAGTCAAAACAGTAAGTGTAACTAAGTTTTTAGGTGATACGAGATATTCAATAAGAAACTGAAATATTCTGATCAAATCTGCAAATGATCCTTTCCTGGAAGAAATCTTTTCATCTTTCTTTTTCTGTAACTCTGTCTTCCAGGCTTCATTTAGCCTCTCTGCAACAACATTTCCAGCACAAAAAACTGTCCACACAATATTCGTCTGACGAAACATGAAGCCACAAAATCCAAGGAGAGCTGAAGTTTTATGGTTACCATAAAGGCACATTAAATAGGCAAAGAGAGTAAAAAATACTGATCCTGGGTCTGTATAATAAAGGAATGTAAAAAAGTGAAGGGTGGGAAACATTGCAAGAGTTAACGTAGACAAGATTCTCTGGAAACCAGACACAGCCTAGAGAAGAAGCAGAAAAATGTGGTTAGCAATGTCCAGTAAAAATAAAATTAAAAAAACTAAATAAAGAGTATCATTCTTGAGAATTCCATTAACACCATGTAACATCTCATGCTCTTTGGTTCCATTAGCGCACAAGCATGCATGCTGTATTTTTGTTAACCTCCTGCTATGTCAACACAGACTGTTGGACTACACAATGTTAAAATACAAATTAAAGTATGGAACATTAATGCCGTCAAGTTAAAAATATGGCAATGAAAATACACTAACTTCTTTCATATGTCAGGTATTCACATATTTGTGGCATTAAAATCATTGTGGGAGTATAATTGCACCCGTACCAAGGATAAAAAAGCTACACTAATGGGAAGAAGAAAAGAAAAAAACAAACCGGGTTTTATGCCCCGGCAATCTCATCATCAGACTCTGTGAGACAGCAGAACACATCATTCTGTGTGTCTAATTTTGCTTCTTTTGAACCCAGACCACAGAATGGCCAGTTCCAACTTTCTAATCTTTGATGCAGCTTTTATCTTTTATCTTCATTATAATTCCTGAGTTAGAAAAGACACTTTAAAGAAGGTAGGAGACCATGCAGTTAAAAACTCCTCCCAATTATCCCACGCACTACATGATACAACACAATTCACAGCATTAAAAAATGTTGCATGACATTTCTCAATGATGTAGCATGGGCTGAAACAGCCAGTCACCACCTTACAGAAAAGAGGAACAGAGAAAATGCTGAGTTCAAAGACACGCTAACAATTCAGCTACATTTTCTAATGCTTAGACTACTGTCATGAAACCTTTTGTTTTCTTCTATTTGTATTTCCACCTCCAAGCATAAAATTACAAGTGTTCTGAAAGTGGAAAAAATTTAGTGAATTTGACCCAATGCTGTATAGTCTTATCATGTGCTTAAACATTAACAGTCTCCAACAAGAAAATACACCAGAAGAAATTTTCTTTATAGTAAAGGAATCCTTCAGTTATTGCAAAAAAAAGGAAAAAACTAAACAACTTTATTAAGGTGAAAGGTTTTGATAGGCCATTAACCTCTCAAACAGTTTACCTACTGCAGTATGGGATTCTCCACCACTTTAAATATACAATATTCTTGTATCCAAGTTGAACTGTGATGGTCCGGATGGGTAGACTACTAGACAGGTAAAAACTGGCTGTATGGTAACTGGTCACACTCTACCCAAAGAAGAGCAATAACCAGAGTATCATAGGGATCTATACTGGGACCTGTCCTGTTTAACATCTTTATCAATGACAGTGAGAGTACACTCTCATCAAGTCTGCAAATGACATTAAAGTGGTGGGACCAGGCAATATGTTAAATAGCAGAGCTGCCATCTAGAGTGACCTAGACAGGGTGGAGGAATGGGGCAACAGAACTGCTATGCAATTCAACAAGGACAAATGCAAATGTCTGCACCTGGAAAGGAAGAAATCTCCACAATGATACAGGCTGGACATGGAATAGCTGAGGATCTGCTGCTCTGTGGAGAGGGACCTGGGGGTCTTGGCATAGAGTGAGGGGATCATGAGCCAGCAGCACACCCTGGCACTAAGGAACTGCAAGAGTCTCCCGGGCTGCATTAAGAAGAGCATAGCAGCAGATCCAGGGAAGCGAGTATCCCTTTATTTCTTAGGTTGTACCTAGAATACCATGTCCAATTTTGTGCCCTGTGATACAAAAAAAAGCACTAGTGAACTGGAGCAATGGCAGAGGGCCACCAAGACAGGTGGGGGCTGAAGCACTTGCCCTGAGAGGAGGGGCTGAGGGAGCTCGCCTTGTTCAGTTTGGAAAATAGCTGGCTTGTGGGGAACAGCAGCCTACCAGTATCTCTGAAAATATCAACAGGTAAAGGGAGTCAGGCTCCTCGAAGTGGTACATGATGGGAGGACAAGAGACAACAGGCATAAACTGAAATGAGAGGTTCCAACTGGATGCAAGAATAACCTTTTTTGCCATGAGGCTAGTCAGTCATGGAGCAGGTTGCCTCCAGAGGTTGTGCAGTCACTCTGTCCTTGGAGAGTTTTCCAGGCCCCAGTCCTGAGCAACCTGACCTGATCTCAGGGCTGGCCTGCTTTGGGCTGGAAGGTGGACCTCCTAAGGTCCCTTTCAACCAGAATCATTCTCCAATTCTTCCCAACTTGAATTATTCTCCATTTCTAAATACTGACATCAAACATGGTATCTTTCTAAAGAACAGATTTTAGTTTAAACACAGTTCACAGGGCTTGACTCAGGATTCAGTGGTTGAAGTTTGGTGGAGAATCTTTATGTAATTCCAACTAGATGAGTATTCAGACCTTTGGATAGTAAGTCTATATGCATACTAAGTAAATTTAAGTTTTATTTGTGTGACTTTTAGTTATGCACAAGCATAAATTTTTAGAGGACTGCACTGTGGGAGAGAAAAAATGTTTTGGCTTTTTTTTTAGAGAAAAGGAATGTGCCTCCTTGGCCAAACTGGTAGTAGTAGAGGACAGCTCACATATGTAGTGAAGTGAACATATGGAGCCATCAAAACTGCCTGTATGAGCACATAAAATTATTCTACTTTGACTGTACCTTATTCTTCTGATGGATCTTGAACAGAAGTAAATACAGTAAGTAGAAGTTCCCAGCACTGAAAAGGAGGTTAATAAACCTGAGCATTCCCGTGGAGCACACCACGCTTCCCGTCCACCCGAAGAGCCACGCTGTGGGCTTCACTATGCCCACCGAGACCAGGTACAAGCCCGGCAGCGTGGTGATCATTGGGTCCCACTGGAAAGTGGAGAGAGACAGAGGGTTACGGACCAGAGACACACAACAGGTTACAACAGACCATTCCCACCCATGGCCCATTTTGTTAGCTTGGATGTTTAGCGAATTTCTGGCATCATTAGACGGAAATTTTTGAACACCTTGTTCTCCTGCCTGGCGCACTACCGCACCACCAAACAACAGAAAGCAGAAACCGGCGTTTTGGACAACAATGACCACAAATCATTCCTTTCCAAAGTGCCCACGGTACGTTTATAGAAATCATCGCTCCTGACTGGCAAACGCGAGCGAGGCCGGTCCACGCGCAGCACCTGGAGGAAGCGGCCGTGGCAGTAGGCCTGCGCCTGGGGGACGTGGAAGGCTTCGTCCATGTAGGGCCCGCGCTGGCGGCGGCTGATCGCCGCGAAGAGCAGGCACGACAGCAGGAAGGCGCCGCTCATGGCGGCAGAGAAGCCGTAGGCCTCCGCCCGCTCCATCCCGCCGCCGCCACTGAACAAATTTCTTTCTTTTTTTTTTTTTCCAGAGAAGCTTGCTAAGATCCATGCAGCCAAATTAAATATGTGTATTCACTTACCTGTTTACCTGGCTACTGATAGAAGTTACTGGTATTTTTAATAACACTCATATGCTGTTACCTCTTGTAGCCTGT